TCCCCGTATAAAGCGACCCATTCTTGATACCACTAAAATATAGTGCAATATGGCTTTACCACGTACAAACGATATCCAAGTTAATAATTACCGAAACTTCACCCTAAAATGCGAGACAGGTCATTGGGGCAGAAAGACGAGAGTTTATGCATCGCTGTTGTAATGAAGAATCATAAAGAAACGGTATAAGTCTGGCGTGATCAGTAGTAGCATGCAACTATTGTTAAACGTCCTGTGCTCAATCATGTAACATCTTTTTTATTATAAAATAACCCGTAAACCACGGCTCATTACGCAGGGCAAATGGCAGAACATCACTGTTAATTATAGTAAAGGTCTATTATGGAAAATGATTGGAACCCAAATGTTTTAAACATTTTTATTAATATTATCAATTTGTTTAACGAACGACATGAATATATTTTAATATAACGATAGAGATTTAAAATAACGCCTCCAGATATTAATGTCATACGAGCGTGCCACCTTTTATTAAACATGTTATATATTACGTATTTTACATTTTACCTTAAGAGTATGCTGCAGATGATAACAAAAGTTGGTTAAAATAAAATGTACTTGTATACTTCCCTCTACTGGGCACAAGCCTGCTGTTTGGAAAGAAGGATTTTGGGCCACTCTCCACCTCCCATGAACCTACTAACTTTGCAGTTATAAGAACCCAATCTAAAGAGACGCACGCGTTACTTGCACTGTGCTCTTTCCTGCTCGCATTTTCTTCACTCACAAGTTAAATCCCTTTTTTAGTTACATCACTTCTCACTTTTCCGGAGCTGATAGCAAAATGGTGCTTATACCTTAATTTATTTTACTCCAACCACTTCAAACCTGCTTCGCCTCTCGTTTCAACGGCGCATGAACTCCCTCACCCTAATAAAATTTTCTCCCGAATTAACGAGATCCATGTAAGAGACTGAGCCGTGCTCTAAACGAGAGGTTCCATTCATCATAATTATACACATATCTTCCTCATTTATAGTACATGGCGGATGTTCCCTTCAATTGCTCTACAATCGGTTATATTTGTGTCACTCAATCTCATATTACAACCTCTTCCGAAAACAGACATGTCCACCGAGGGTTTGAGAGACTTTATAATCAATTGAAAACCAGGTTACCTCATTTTGTAGCCACATGTCCGGAAAGAACCAAACTACTCACGGCCTTTTATATCTTCCGTTCAACTCTTCCGGCAAACTGCAACCACATTACCACAAATCAAATGCTTACACCTACTAAACTCTTCTTAGAGCAATTCTGTGTAAGACAAACCTATACTACCAGCACAGATCACTTTAAAATCAGGGCTTTATCCAGAACTGGTGAGGCTGCCGTTCTGATGTACGTATATTAATCACCCAAGCGCCATGCAAGCTGTATACGGGCTCTATTGAAGTTCGTTTTTATACAAGGGGCTGTAGTTTCAGGCTGTATAAAGGCTGTATAAGCGGTTATACATTTTTTGAGTAAAAATTTGGCGTGCGTGCGTGCGTGCGTGCCTGCATGCGTGCGTGAGTGTGTGCGTGCGTGCGTGCGTGCGTGCATGCAAGCGTGCGAGCGTGCGAGCGTGCGTGCGTGCGTGCGTGCTTGCGTGCGTGCGTGCGTACGTGCGTGCGTGCGTGCGTGCGAGCATGCGAGCGTGCGTGCTTGCGTGCTTGCGTGCGTGCGTGCGTGCGTGCGTGCGTGCTTGCGTGAGTGCGTGCATGCGTGCGTGCGTGCGCGCGTGCGTGCGTGCGTGCGTGCGTGCGTGCGTACGTGCGTGCGTGCGTTCGTGCGTGCGTGCGTGCGTGCGTGCGTGTGTGAGTGTGTATGTGTAGTGTGTGTGTGTGTGTGTGTGTGTGTGTGTGTGTGTGTGTGTATGTGTGTGTGTGTGTGTGTGTGCGAGCGTGTGTGTGTGTGTGTGTGTGTGTGTGTGTGTGTGTATCCCGTGTGTGTGTGTGTGTGTGTGTGTGTGTGTGTGTGTGTGTGTGTGTGTGTGTGTGTGTGTGTGTGTGTAAACTTCTTATAACTTTTTAATGGCTTGACCGATTGAAATGAACTAAGCGACTTTCCAAAGGACTATGAATTTAACTAATTCAGAGCGGTAGATTTTTTTACAGGATACGTTGACAAACGACGGTAAGTGGTTGCTGTGGTGCATAGACATCTACATCTATCCTCGATTACGAATCAAAATGCGGATGCATTGTCTCCCGTGAAAACTAACATAGAATGCTTCGTTTCCACTAAAAAGGGACTCCGGTTCTCTACACTCATCATACGAAACACAGCAGCATTAAACTACTATTTTACACTGGTATTCTGTAAGAGCATGGTCCTTACCCGGTCGAGCCGACCTATTCGTGATACAACTATACTACCAATATAACTGCAGCATTACTCTACCACGTACAACGTAGATTTTAATATATCAAAAATAAAAATTATGAAAAACTGTTTTTTTGGAATAACTTATAAACGGCTTTACCAATAGATTCTAAAAACTATTCAGCTTTTAATCTTGAAAACGAACGAATCGATGGCCGCCGGTCCGATCAAAATCGGTTGATTCGTTCGTGAGATATCGTTAAGGGGACTACAAGAGCCAAATGACCTCGAATGATGCACGCACACACTTACACAACCAATGCGAACGCCATCTCACGACAGTGAGGTTTAACTAACGAATTAGTGAGGTTAGTCCCGAGTCTTTAAAATAAATAGATCGCAATTAAGATATATATCTAATAAACGAATAGATGGGACAATGAAATTATTTTTTAGTTAAGTGTTACTTGAAAATTAAAGCATGTGGGTGATTTTAAAATAAAACTGATTTCAAAATAAAAAAAATTGAAGATTTCAAATTACGTATAAATGTTATTTCTAAATGTTCTAGTTCTATGGTACACAAGATACTTAGGTAATTTTGCGTTTCGTTTTTTTTTTTTTTGTACAATTTGACTGAAATATTTTTAAGCTATAAGTAAAAGACAAAAAATTTATACACAATTATAATTACTTTTTTTTATAAACAAAATCAATAAAACTATTCATCAATATAACATAAAGATTCTCTTATTTCGTCATGTTTATCTATAAGCCGCGGTCTTTTAACAAAAACATTAGGTATTTTAGTTTTTAATTGTTATTGTAGCTTAAAAAGTTGTAAGTACTTACGAATTTTAAATAACTTTCGTGTTGATATTTTCAACTTTCATTCTCCGGTAAAAAATTATTACAAATCAAACTTTTTCATTTATTTATAAAATTGTTTAATAAATTTATCTAAATATACTAAACCACTAACTAATATTAAATATATAAAAAAGAAAAAAGAAAATTTGACTTCTCATTCCTGGAATCAAACCCGGGCACTCTTGAGTGCATACTGCAAATCTAAACCTGTATCATTTGGTAGGTGGTGTTTGTGTGTTGTTTGGATTGAAATAACTTTCGTGTTGATATTTCAACTGTCTTTCTCCGGAGAAAAAGTGTTACATTTCAAACTTTAATTACTTATTTATAAAAGTGTTTAATTAATTTATCTCAATATACTAAAATACTAACTATATAAAAAGCAAAAAATAAAATTTGACTTTACACTCCTAGACGTACCACTCTCGAGTACAACCTGAAAATTAATTCCTCGTCAAATCCACGTTGTTTGAATACTCAGTCACTAATAAACAACGTATTTAAATTCATGGGTTTAAAAATACATTATTTTTTAACTTGTAAATAATTAATAAATGTATCTTAATATATTAATACTAAATATATATAAAAGACAAGAAAGAAAATTTCAGTTCATATTCCTGGAACCAAACCCGGGCACTCTCGAATGCAAACTGCAAATCCTTCCCGCGCTACCAACTGTAATAAACCACGTTGCTAAAATTCGTAGATTGTAAAAATAAATATTTATTATTTAGTAATAATTAAATGTAATATAAATATAGTAATAAATCGTTTAATATCGTTCATACATTAAAAATACTCTTCATGACAAGTTTCACTTTAGGTCCCATAATTACAAATGATAATAATTATTAACAAGGTACAATACTTGGCTATTTTAACTTAAAATATTTTAAATCGATATAACGACATACAGGAGAGCGATTTGAAGACACTCTTGCACAATTTTCGCTCTAACTTTTTTGTTATTTAAACTAGACATTTAGTTTTTTCGTATGTACTATTGACTATGATAAGACATGGATATTCATTATAATCGTTACATAAAGAACTGTATTTTAAAATCTAGTCTGTCATATATGCATATGTGACGTTTTATTGTGGATGTCTGTAGGTTACAAATAGATATATAACCTTATTCTTCGGAAAATTGTGAGTTAAATGTGCACATATGTCTTTAATATAAGTAAATACACAACCATAAGGTCTTAATGATAAAAAGGTGTATATGCGAATTAAGTAAATTACAAAGGTTTTTTTTTGTTATTAAGGTTTAATTGATCAATAGTTCACAGTGTGTAACTAAATGTAACTTATTTCTATAATGTTTACCGAGTATTAGACTTATAAACTTTAATATCATCAAATAAGAACAAAATAATCAAAAATTATAAAATCGACAAACTAAGTACTGGGCGTCTAACCTATTTTAAAGGAACTATAAGAAATAGTAACAAAAATAAAAAAATCGGTAATAATAATATAAGTAACTAATACGAGAGTATGACGTATAAATTTGAACTAAAGTTTAAAGTCTTTTAACTATATTAAAACATAAAACTTAGACGTGTCAGTTTCACAATGCACAAATATATAAAATTATATTATATCCAAAGATGAAATAGTGTAAATACTAATTAATTAATGAAAATAAAAACATTCTCGCATTCTTCTTTTATAATTAAATTCTAACCGCAACATTAGGGTTCATTGTTAAAAAACCATTAATTAAAAAAAAATAAAAATAAACATTGAGCATTAAAAATAATAAATCAGTCTTTGACAATCAGCTATTGACAATGCCAACATTATTTGCACTCACTGGCAGATATGTAAAAAAATATGCGCCTTGGGAAGGTATTATTCCAGAACCGACTAAACTAATGAGATCCTTAATGCCTGTTCTAGAGTAGGTAAAAAGGTAGAAGCATTGCGTGTATTTGAGCGTATTAAAACGGTAAAATAATGATTTTAGCTGAGATCATATTTATATAGTAGCTTATTAGGCTCTGATTTATATATTATTTACGAAAAAAGAATATTTATGGTAAGAAAAATATTTATGAAACAATGAATTTAAAAATAAAATTATACAAATACATTAAATGATCATTACGTAAATAATGCAGCAAAAAGAGCGACACGTCTACATACCATGAGACCTCGGGCCGCTGTGTTATTATTCTGTGTATTATTATGTACACAGGCGTTTACGCACACATCCGTGCGTATTATTTCAGAAATAAGAACATGCGATTTAAAAATAAAAACAATTAATTGGACTAAAAGATTAAAACAACAATAAGATAATATGTAGCTTGCATAATAATCTGACAAAAAATCAGAATGATTGCATGTATATTAGTATGGTTTTTACTCGTTAAAAGAAATTTTTAGAGGTATCTTTGTGATTTTTTCTATCGTATCAAATTATTAGTATCATGTTTTAACACAACAGTTAACTAGCATATATCGAGAAAAATATCAATATATTTTTCTGGTTTTGTTTACTGTGGTGTATCTTATACTTTGACGCATTATAAAACTTGCGTTTAGCTCCTGTAGTCCCCTTAATGATAAATTTGGTAAGAGAGCGACCCAAAAACTTAAACGATGTGCTGGTTGCGAAGTCAATTTTCTTGAGTGCTGTGTGCATGGGCGCGTAGTAAATAACTAGCAATCTCACTCTTTTATTTGGTAGACTTTGGTGCATTTGCAAAAAACTGAACCATTGACTGGCGTTTATTTTCTAGACTTCTTTGATAAATTCAGTGCGAGTATGTATCACCCCGTGCCTTATAAGCACGTTGAGAGCATTCTGCTTCAAATTTAGTTATCATGTCATCTGAGCATCGATGAAATTATACGGCAACAACGCAAAACTACTTTTTTACTCAAAAAATATGCTTGTGTAAAATTCCGTTTGTGTTCTCTGAGTCAATCTGCAATATATTCGGATTCACTCCATACGTAATTTGCCTATTCCCTTAGACAAAGTTTAAAAAAATAAAATTGAATAGGTACTCAACAAACTTACCACGTATTGACGGTATAATAATATCCACTGCCCCATATCATCGCGTAGGTTTCGTAAGAGGCGATGGAGAGGAATGAGGCAGCAGCTTCTTCCTAATAAAGACTAAAAATAAATAACTGCGGTTGCTAACCCGAATGCCAATCCTGGCTACTATAGCAAATATCCCTTGCCTCCCCTATGAGGCAATATATATAGGAAGCTCTTAATCAGCAGTGAAATTTAACAGGCTATAACGGTAAAGTACGCAAAAAATATTTTCGTTGTAAACCAGTTTAAGCCTGCTTAAATTACAAGCGAAGTAGGAACGCTTTTGATAATATATTTTCCGTTTGATTAGTAACTATATATTTTTTAATAATAACAATATGATTTTATACTATTTTACCTTATAAAAATAAATTTCACAAGGACAAACATCTAGACTCTGAAAATTTGTTTGTAGACTATAGAAATACTTTTCCCGTGCGGCATTCGAACCCGCGGCCCGCAGCACCTCAACTTATCTATACTTATAATAAATCTGTAGATAGGTCAATTCTGTACATGAAATATATTTCCAAAATAACTACCAGGGGGTGATTAGTGATCGAAACTGATGCCAAAAATACAAACAGTAATATTTTTGTCTGTCTGTCTGTCTGTCTGTATGTTCGTTATAGAAACAAAAACTACTCGACGGATTTTAACAAAACTTGGTACAATCATTTTTCATACTCCTGTGCAGGCTATAGTACTTTTCATCACGCTACAATCAATAACAGCAGAGTAGTGATGGGAAATGTTGGGTAAACGGGATAAATTACTCCATTTTTTAAGCTTCCGTCGCGTGTACAGCCTTAATGGTTAAAGCTACACAGAAATCATGTATAACGGAAATGTTCTACTTAAAATTGTATAAAAAATATCCCACGACAGCATATGTGTTTAGAGCATCTGAGACACCTTCTCAACATTAGCAAAGGCGTCTTGAACAGACAGAGCGTCAGGCTGCTTTAAGAGCTTCCGAAACACCTTCTCAAAGTCAGGAAAGGCGTCTTGAACAGGCAGAGCGTGAAGCTACTTTTAGAGATACTGAAACACCTGATCAAAGTCAGCAAAGGCGTCTTGAACAAGCGGAACGTCAGGCCACCTTAAGAGCCGCGGAAATACCTCATGAAACTCAATACAGACTCATTGAGCAAGCTGAACGTCAATCTACTATAAGGGCATCTGAAACACCAGAACAGACACAGGCGCGAAGAGATGACACAGAAATGCACAGCTCCAAGCTGAACGTCGACAAAATTTTCAAAGAAACAATTGGTCGGTTTTTAATGACGCAGCATTCAATTATGATCCGTTGATTGATTATAAAAATCACAGGTTAGTTGTTATCGGACTGATGGACAAGGCGTGTAGATTATGCAGAGCTTTAAAATGGAAAGATGAGACCGCAGGTCGTGTGCTGTTCCAATGGCAAAGTGTCTCTTCCGTTACTTGGGGAACCAGAAGAAACTTTTAAAACTCTCTTTTTATATGATGCTAATGAGTCACGACGCTTTTTAAACAAGATCCGGAAATATAACTCATGCTTTCAAATGACGTCCTTCGGAGTTGACCGGGAAATAATAATGCCGGGATTTTCGCACACAAGACGCATTCGCCTATGTACGAACTTACGGAAGACCTGATCTTTTTGTTACTTTTACTTGCAATCCCACATGGAAAGAAATAACCGAGGAGCTAATGCCTGGCCAAAAAAGTACGGACAGACACGATTTAGTTGCTAGAGTATTTAGATTAAAAATACAAAAATTAATGTTCGTGTTCGTGGGAAAATTTTCGAAGAGGTGCAGTGCTTCATTTATTCAATTGAATGGCAAAAAAGAGGATTACCGCGTGCCCACATTCTAATATGGCTTAAAAGAGAAGTTGCAGCCCAGCCAAATAGACGACATAATAAGCGCCGAGATTCCGGATCCTGAGCAAGATAAATATTTGTATGATACCATCGTCTGAAATATGATCGGTCCATGTGGAGCACGAAATTCAATATCACCATGTATGAAAGAAGGAAAATGTACAAAGAAATTCCCTAAACAGCTATTAAAAGAAACAATGCACAATGACAATGGCTACCCTTTATACAGACGCAGAGCCCCCGAAGATGTTGGCAGGAAAGTTACAATCAAATCTCGCTCTGGAGAGTTCGAAACCTTAGATAACAGCTGGATTGTCCAGTATTCGCACATTTTATGTAAAATATTTAATGCCAACATTAATGTAGAAGCATGTAGCTCTGTCCGCACAATCAAGTATATCTGTAAGTACATAAATAAAGGAAGCGACCAAGCAATATTTAATCTCAGGAGTGAAGGTGAGGCAAATCCCGTTAATGAAGTACAGACCTTTCAAGCAGGGCGTTATGTCAGCAGTAACGAGGCAGCGTGGCGTCTCCTTGGCTTCCCTTTACAAGAAAGGCACCCAACAGTTACTCACCTTGCTGTGCACTTAGAAAATGGAGAGTGTATGTTTCACCGAAAGAATTGCATCACCGCCAAAAACTACACTAACAGCCTTCTTTCAACTATGTCAAACCGACCACTTTGCAAAAACGTTGTTAAATTCTGAAGTCCCCCGCTATTATACTCGGAACACATCTAGAAAGGAGTGGAAACGCCGTATTCCAGGCGCGCCTGTTGCAAATTGGCCCGATGTAAATTCATCAGATGCCCTTGGTCGTGTATATACCGTCCATGTAACTAATTTTGAATGTTTCTGTTTACTGCTGCATCATGTTCGGGGTCCTTCAGGATATAAAGACCTTAAAACTGTCAATGGTCAGGAATTCCCAACATATAGAGAAGCATGTGAAGCTCTGCATCTTTTAGAAAACGATAATCACTGGGATGAAACCATGGAGGAAGCTGTGCAGTGCCAGTCACCAGCCAAAATTAGGGATCTTTATGCAACTCTCATATCATCTTGCGGGCTATCTAATGCACATGAATTGTGGGACAAATATAAAGAGTACATGGGAATGCGGAAGATATTTTGCGAAGGTTACAGCAGGCACACGCGAACATGGCATACAATGAACACATTTATAATGAAGGACTTGAAAAAATTGAAGAGAAAGTAATAGCAATGGTAGGCAAAAAATTAAGCGAATTTACGCGACGGCCGCACTGCACATTCTGTTTTAAAACTCCCGAATCGCCGATCTGCAACTTTAGCAAAAAATAGTGCACGAGGTATAATGCTACGACAATGCAAACTTTTAGTGTGGGACGAAAGTACAATGTCTCGTAAAAAAAGCTGTAGAAGCACTAAATCGAACGCTTCAGGATTTGCCCAACAATACCGATGTAATGGGAGGAATGGAGGTTTTATTGGCTGGTGACTTTCGCCAAACTTTACCTGTCATTCAAAAGGGCACACCTGCAGATGAAATTAAAGCATGCCTCAAGTAGTCTATTTTATGGAACAAGGTGACAAAATTCAGTTTAACTACGAATATGAGAGTGCATTTGTATAGTGATATCAATGCTGGAAACTATGCTGACACACTATTAAAAATTGGCGATGGGCGGTTGGAAACGGATGCTGAGGGCTGGATTAAATTGACGAGAGATTTTTGTAATTTAGTACAGAGTCATTCCAAATTAATTGCGAGCGTTTATTCAGATTTAACGAACAACATGCATGAAGACAAATGGTTATGTGAAAGGGGCGATTCTTGCACCAAAAAATGAGAGCGTTAACAAAATAAATTCAGATATATTAAGCGAAGTAGCAGGAGAAATAACAGAGTATTTGTCAGTAGATACAGTAATGGACACAGAACAGAGCACTTCATATCCCACAGAGTTTCTAAATTCTCTAGAGTTGTCAGGTGTGCCCTCACATAAGCTTCAATTAAAATTAGGCGTCCCATTCATGCTAATGCGAAATTTAGATCTCCTCGGTTATGTAACGGGACAAGGCTGCGTGTGACACATCTTGGATGGAACATAATCAGTGCTACAATTTTGACAGGCGTAGGAAAAGGTGAAAATGTTATTATACCACAGATCCCCACAATTCCCACAGATCTTCCTTTTCAATTCAAAAGGTTGCAGTTCCCTATTAAGCTCAGTTTTGCAATGACAATTAATAAAGCGCAAGGGCAAACGTTACAGGTAGCGGGGGTCAACTTAGAAAAACCGTGCTTCTCTCATGGTCAGCTGTATGTAGCATGTTCGCGTGTGTCAAATGCCAAGAATCTCCACATTCTTTCCCCGAATGGAAAAACATATAACATTGTGTACAGTAGCGTCTTAAAATAGTGTTCAGTTAGTTTTTTTTTTTCAAAATTCCCACAATCAATTAATCAGAAATCCCACAGATCTTCCCTTTCAATTCAAAATTTCCTATTTAGCTCAGTTTCTTTTCAATTCCAAATACTGCACCTCTGACGGACCTATTAAGCTCAGTTTCCTTTCAACTCAAAAGGCTGCATCTCTGACGGATCTTTTATTTGGCTCAGTTTCCTTTCAATTCAGAAAACTACATCTCTGACGAATCAATTTAGCTCAGTTTCTTTTCAAAAGTCTGCATCCCTGACGGATAATTATGCTCAGTTTCCTTTAATTAAGAAAATATCCCATTTTCATTTGTTTTAGTTGCAGGCCATTTTCATGCTTTCCCATACGCTGCGTTTCAGAACATTTAAATAGGCTGACGAATCAATTTTGCTCAGTTTCTTTGTAATGGCTGCATCTCTGACAAATCTATAAAACTCAGTTTTCTTTCAACTCAAAAAAGCAATGGATAGTTCATTACCCAATGACCATGCGGGCGAAGCCGCGGGTAACAGCTGGTTTATTATAATGGATTTCAGCAAAGTAACGCCTTATTCTATCAATTATCGAATTTTAAAGGTTTAATTTCTTAAAATCAAATAATAATAATAATAATAATAATAATTTAACCGTCACAGAGCAAAACCTGGCAGACCGAGTTCGGTATATCTTGCGCTCAAATATATTTGATGTTGCCGAACTCGAACGGCTACGACTTGAGGCTGTTCCCTCGTCGGATGAGAATGCTACGGCTGAGGATGCGGCGCCACAAATGGTAGAGCAACCCGCAAACGTGGATGCCGCCGTGAATACCCCAGTTGTGGTTGATTCAAACGATGATGGAACAGTCGCCCAGGAACTGGAATTAGAGCATATGAGGAGTACATTGGAAGAGGCGATTGTGGAAACGCGCAGTACGCCTCTCGAAAATCGACCGCGACTTCCCCGTATAGCCCTAAGCAAGCGGAATCGGGCTGTCGTGAGGGCTCTGAACCCAATGCTGGTGACCTATTTGGAAGCCAGCCGGGACCTTTGCGAGACGGACTCAATTCTTTTTGGCGCCGCGCTAGCAGTCTGCCGTATCATAGGCGCCAAGGTTTCCACGGCTGGACGCGCTACTGGCCATAGTAGCGCTATCCCAGCATGGAGAAGAAGAATTGAGGAACGTATCGCAAAGGCTAGAGCTCTCATCGGCAGACTGATATGCTTCAGATCAGGCAACAACAGGCCAAGAATTGTGCGCACCGTCAGGATGGCGTTTGCTGGGACAAATGTCAGTTTGTCCCAGCCGGATATAACGCAAAAACTGACGGAGAGCATAGATGATCTGAAGCAGAGAATCGCTGCTTGGGGAAAACGGATTCGGCGATATACCGAGAGGTCGACACGGTTCAACCAGAATCGTCTCTTCCAGAGTGATCAGAAGAGGCTCTATGAATCAGTGGAGCGACCAATGGTAAGTGGAACGGGTCCAGCACCGAATCAGGCCGACACTGTAGCATTCTGGCGCGGCCTGTGGTCAGAGCCCGTAAACCACAGCGAGGGCCCTTGGACGGAAGTTGTGGCGAGTCAGTGTGCGGGTATTACGCCCATGGACCCCGTCATCATAACGCCGGATGACGTAGCTGAGGCGGTCCGTAGGGCCCCGAACTGGAAAAGTCCGGGGCTTGACGGGCTGCATCACTACTGGCTGAAGGGGTTCATGGTGTGTCACTCTGTGCTTGCCCGACAGTTTCAAGAGGCTCTCAACCAGAAGTCGCTCCCAAGCCTCTTCACTACTGGGATCACTCATTTGGTTCCTAAAGACCAGGGTACCACAGACCCGAGCAAATACCGCCCCATCACGTGTCTACCGACCATATACAAGACACTAACATCCATTTTGAGCGCGAGAATCACTTGTCACCTGGACTCAAATCAGGTGATGTCGCGCGCTCAAAATGGATGTCGGGGCGGTGGTCGTGGAACCAAGGAACCACTCCTCATTGACGCGGTCATTGGCAAAGTGGTGAAACGCAACCGTCGGAACTTCTCCGCCGCCTGGATAGACTACAGAAAGGCATTCGACTCGGTGCCCCATACATGGCTAAAGAGAGTCCTCGAGCTGTACAAGATAGACTGTACAGTTAGAGACTTCCTCGAGCAGTGTATGGGGCAGTGGAGTACGATCCTTTGTCATCTGGGCGAGCGGATGATGGCTTCGGAGAACCACATAAGGATAAGAAGGGGTATCTTCCAGGGCGATTGTTTGAGTCCAATCTGGTTCTGCCTCTCTCTGAACCCTCTCAGTACCTTACTGGAGGGCTCCGGGAGGGGGATTTCAGCTACGGAAAGGAGGGACAAAAGTGACTCACCTTTTCTATATGGATGACCTCAAGTTATTCGCCTCCAGTCGCTCCCATCTTATGGAATTGCTAAACATCACTTGTGAATTTAGCAATTCCATTGGAATGGAGCTTGGGACGGATAAGTGTGCGGTCCTCCATGTTGAAAGGGGAAGGGTTGCTAACTCTGAGGGCGTAGACTTATCTATGCCCGTCAACTTAAGGACCCTTTCCGAGGCTGAAACATACCGATACCTGGGTATGTCACAAAACATCGGTATCGATGAGACTGGTACGAAACAGTCAGTTTGCGACGTGTTTTATGCACGCTTGACCAAAGTGCTTAACAGCCTTTTGTCCGGTGTGAATAAGGCACACGCATATAACGGCTGGGTCATGCCTGTCCTCATGTATACCTTTGGCATACTCAGGTGGACTCAGACTGAACTTAACGCCCTGGATAGAAAAGTCCGCACTACCATGACGTCCCATAGGATGCATCATCCGAGATCGTCGGTAATGAGGCTGTACTTGTCGCGGAAGCATGGTGGTCGTGGCTTCTTGAGCGCGCTCACCATGCATAATCGCGAAGTGTGCAGCCTCCATGATTACTTCCTGGCGAGATCGGATGATCCATTCTATATGGACGTCATTTCTTGTGATAAAGGACTTACCCCTCTATCCTTAGCCAACGAGCAATGGCAAGACCCGGCAGTGCAGAGCATTTCCGACCGGGAGACCGTATGGAAGGAGAAGGAGCTCCACGGGAGGTTCTACAAGGCTCTACATGAGCCTTTCGTAGACACAGTAGCCTCCCTCCACTGGCTACGCTTTGGTGATCTCTTCGGGGAAACCGAGGGTTTTGTCTGTGCAATACAGGATCAGGTTATTAAGACCAACAACTATCGGAGATACATCCTAAAGGATGGCACCGTCGACATCTGTCGAGCTTGTCGCCATCCCGGTGAGTCACTTAGGCATGTTATCTCCGGTTGTTCGGCGCTTTCTAACTCTGAGTACTTGCACAGGCACAACCTAGTAGCCAGAATTCTACACCAGGAGCTCGCTCTGAAATACGATCTCGTGGACCGGAAATTGCCGTACTACAAGTACTTGCCGGAAGCCGTGCTCGAAAATGATCGCGCCAGGCTCTATTGGGACCGGGCCATCATCACAGACAGGACTATTCTTGCGAATAAGCCTGATATTGTGCTGATGGACCGGGCACAGTCAAGGATATTTTTGGTCGACATTACCATTCCGTATGACGAGAACCTCGTGAAAGCCGAAACAGACAAGCAAACAAAATATCTGGACCTGGCTCACGAGGTGACCGACATGTGGGGTGGTCTGCCGACCGAAATTATTCCTGTAGTCGTCTCTCCAAACGGGCTAATCCCAGTCAGCCTCTCGGGTCATCTGAGGCGGCTGGGACTACGTGGCGGACCGCTCCAGGTTCAAATGCAGAAGGCGGTGCTCCTCGATACCGCCCGCATCGTCCGCCGGTTTCTTTCCCTTTCCCCCCTAACCCTCGGCCGTTTGGTCTCCCCTGCCGAGGGCCTCCATCTGGTTGGGCTTTTATTTATTTATGTACTTTTATATTTATTTTATGTTATTGATATTTATGTATATTTATCTTTTCATTTTCATTTATAATTATATATTTATAGAACCCAACCAGATGAGAAAACTATATAGATACCCCATAATAATAATAATAAGTTCTTTATTTCCAAGAGGTTGTACATCACGATATTTGCATAACATTATTTAATAAAGCTACATTAGTACATATACTTGAAAACATAGCATCTGCAGCCGAACTAGGAGACCTGTGCATCAGCTGTCAGCGCCATATCCCCACCGTTAATTTAGAGAAATATTAGGATGCAAGCAAAAGTTAAATAATCAAATACTATCTAAAATTTGTACATTCCGCTAATATAACCTAAGTACAATGAAATTAATTGTATCACATATTATGTTTATATACTATGTTACCACTTATTACTAATACCAAGGCCTACAAACAAATAATAATAATTTATACTACTAATGCCGTTCCTCTCTCATAAGATGTGTAATGTATGACTGTAAGAAGTAATTGTGTTATGAGTGTAATTGTGTGTGAGCAGTTATGGGAGAGGAGCGTGTAAAATGTATGTCGGTGTGTGTGTGTGTGTGTGTGTGTGTGTGTGTGTGTGTGTGTGTGTGTGTGTTTGCGCACGTGCTTGTGTGTGTGTCTGGTTATTATGATTTTATACGGGTAGTATTACAAGTGACAGTTATATAAGAATTTATTTTTAAGTCTGAATACTAAGCAGGTTTTCAGTTTCATTATAAGTTAATTTTTGTAGGTAACTATGTACAGTTTTTTTTACAATTTATTTTATTAAGGTGGTAAATGTCCAATGTTTTATTTAGTTTATTATATAAGTGTGGTCCCAAAAATGCAAAGAATTTTCTTATAAAAGTTGTTTTAAATTTAGTTGTATCTACGGAAAATTTCCTGCGTTTATTTAAGTTCGATCGGTTGTATACTAATAAGCTATGTTGTTTCTGAATGATCGTTAATATAAACAGTTGTCTTACTGTAAGGACCTGACAGTTATCATAAAGCTGTGATGTAGGATAAAGAAAAGGTTTAAATGTTGCAACTTTGAGTATAGCACGTTGAGAGATTTCTATCTTTTGTAACACCGTTTTATAGGCACCACCCCACGTTGATATGCAGTATGTTATAATAGACTGACATAAAGCTAAGTAAACTCGTTTTAATATATCTGGATCCAAAACATGTCTAATAGTTTTAAAAATATATATTAATTTATGAATTCTTTTGCTAAGTGTGTTAATATGTTGTTTAAAATTTAAATTACTATCTATTATAACCCCTAGATATTTAATATATTCAACAGACTCAAGTGAAAGGCAGGAACAGCTGTTATCCCTTGTTAAACAATCATATGAATGAATCACTAAGTTAAAATTATCAAGGTTGCGAATAGGTTTTCTTAATGAATAAACTATATATTTTGTTTTCGTAATATTGATTGAAAGTTTATTACTGTAAAGCCAATTAGTAACTGCATTTATACCTAATTGTGCAGACGAGAATACATCTTTCCACGTATCCGCAGCAAATATCAAAACAGTGTCATCTGCATATGAAATTATATGTCCCTGAGAGAGATTAAATTTTGTAAAATTATCAATATAAATAAGAAATAAGGTTGGGCCAAGTATACTCCCTTGTGGTACGCCGTGTGTTACTAGTAAATCATTGCTGGTAATATTATTTACACTAACGCATTGATATCTCTCAGAAAGATAACTTTTGAATAGTTTGAGTTGAGTGCCTCTGATACCGACATTTTCCAGTCTTTTTAATAGTATTTTTATTGACACGGTATCGAATGCTTTCGCCAAATCTAAGAAAACAGAAATACACTTTTTTCCACTGTCTAAATACGATGACAAAAAATTTGTAAGAGTATGAACGGCATGCTCCGTTGATTTGCCATGTCTAAAACCAAACTACGTATTTGACAATAAATTATTTTTCTCCAGATATTTTGTAAGTCTTATAATTTTTTTATATTTTCCTATAATTTTCTCTAAAATTTTGGATAAAGCAGGTAATATAGAGATGGGTCTATAATTACTTAAACAGGTTTTTTCACCATCTTTAAAAATAGGTCGAATTACGGACTTCTTAAGATATCTAGGGAATACACCATCATTTAAACATTGATTAAATATACAAGTTAAAGGAGGTATTAACAAATATTTAAAATTTTTAATAAATTTATTCGAAATTCCATCCCAACCAACTGAACAGTCGGTTTTCAAATTGTCAATTAATTGTTCTACTTCACTTTCATCCGTGTCCAATAAAGCAAATGAATTTAAGTAATAATTTGATTCTTCACCAATGTTAATATTAAAACTTTCACTGTTTTTATTTCCTACCTTAAAACTCTCTGCCAAACTTTTACCTACATTTACAAAATAATTATTAATAAGGTTAACAGATACTTGCGGCGTGCTAGATATATTTAACAGTTCTCTGTTATACCCTTTCTTTTTCATGTTACCTATAATATCAGTAAGTACTTCCCATAGCTTCTTATTATTATTTTTAGCCATATTCACTCGCTCTTTTTCATAATTTCTCTTTACCTTTTTTAACAATGCGTTACAGTGATTACGATATCGTCGGTATATAATTTGATCACTTTCACTATCTGGAAATCGTCTAGCCCTCTTATGTAGTTTATCACGGTGACGAATACATCTAAGAAGACCAGTCGTAATCCAAGGTTTAATGATCTTTTTTTGTCTTGGCAACTTCACTAATTTAGTATTAACTTCAATTACTGTTTTTATTTTATTAACTAAGTATTCAAGAGAAGTATTTGGATCTTTAATATTATATATAGGTAAAAAGTCAATGTTTTTTTTTATTTAGCCAGGCCCAATTTTTCGGTCATAAAGCACAAACTCGTCTCATGGATAGAAGTTGCTTATGCAGACTCTAAAGTAGCAAATATAAGCCGTACGCAATTTATTATTTTTTTATAGAAGAGAAGGCAAACGAGCATACGGCTCACCTGATGTTAAGTGACTACCGCCACCCTTGATCAACCGCAACACCAAACTCTTTTCTTGAAGGTCCCTAGATCGTACTGTTCCGGAAAAATCGCCGGTAGTTAACTACTTCACAGAGAGGTCGTACGCGGAAACAAGTTCATTTCCCAGTGACCATGCGGACGAAGCCGCAGGTAACAGCTAGTTTAAGTATAAATAAACAATTAAAATACATAAATTACAATTACAATTATTACTACTTATTCTTTATTCTTATATGTTATTCTTGTACCTTTTATATTACTTCTTTATATATATTACAAAATGTATTATTACATGATAGTCTCCAACGAAAAATGGACTTCTGTAATTCATACAAATAATTTAAATAAGTATAGTAAAAGTCTGCGATCGCTCCGTCTGAGGCCTTAATTTATAGTGTTCATAGAATGTAATTCAAATATCCATGTTCTATCAGGTGAATATTTTGGTTATCACTTTAAGGTAACAAGAAATCGATTTCAATAATTATTGCATTTTTGTAGCTTAGAATGACAAACAAGCACACAGTCCATCTGATGGTAATTGGATGCTGAGGTCCATAGACATCCACATTTATCCTCATTTAAGAATCAAAATACAGATGCGCTGTTACCCCTTAGGACTAAGATGGAATGCCTCGATTCCAGTAAAAGGGGTCTCCGGTAAACTTACGATACGTAACACAGCAGCATTACACTACCATTTTACGCTGGTATTCAGTGAGAGCGTGGTCCTGCCCCGGTCGAGCCGACCCTTTCGTGTTACAACTATAATATATAGATACAGCGTGGCTCTGCAGCGTACAATATCATATGGATGATTTTTTTTTGTTTCGTATGGTGAGTGTAGAGAAACGGAGACTCTTTTGCTGGAAAGAAGACATTCCGTCTTAGCCCTCAGGGGTCACAAATCATCTGCATAATTAATTGAGGACGGATGTTTATAGGCCACAGTATCCACTTACCATCATGTGGTCTGTGTGTTCGTTTGTCACCCTTACATTCTATATAAAAACGAAACAGGTAGATGCATGCTTTTTACTGTTATAAATATTATGTATAACTATTATTATTTTAATTTTGGTGAAGGCGCTTGGAAACAAGTTTTAATGACCGCACTTAATTCACAGTCCTTGTATTTTAAAGCCATGTGTTTTAACGACACGTTGAAACCTGCGACCCGGAAGTTCCGTAAACTACATTATTGTACAAGTCGTAACTTCTCCAATTCTCCAAACTTGTGCATACTTAGATGCAAGTGAAATATGTTTTATGTAGGTTCGTTGTATATTGATGATTAACGAGCTAAAGTTACAATGGGTTAACAAGATCTTAAGCATCACAATATACCTAGTTTAATTATGTCATACGTTATTTATACCGTAAGTAGCACCGAAAGCATTGATTTAAAAAGTCTGTAGCCTCTTCTGGCTTCTTTTCTCTCTCTTTTTCTTTCTCTATCTTCGAAGTTAGTTGCAGATACCCATGAACTGCAGTAGCCATTTATTATCTGGCGGGCTGTAAGTCCGTTTGTCACTTCAATTTTATAAAAAAAACCGGTAGATTCGTACTGAAGTTGTATTTAAGAAAATCGGCAAATTTCCAACACGTTCGTATAGTGAGTTTTGAAAACTTCCTTTTAATTGTTCAAAGAGGCATTTAATCTTAGTCCACAGTTGTTAATCTGTTAATTCTTATCGCTGATAGATGTAGGTTTACACGGGCTACAGCGTTCGATTACCGTCAGGTGGTGGCTTGCTCAATACCCTTACTTATAAATTTTTGTAGAATAAGAACGAAAAGCGAGCACACAATTAACCTTATGGTAAGTGAATAATCCAGCCTGTTGTACCCCTGAGGCTAGGATTGAACTCGTTTCTATTAAAAAGGGTCCCCAATTATCTACACTCACTATACTAAACGAAGCAGCATTGAATCAACAAAATAAAAATCTTACTACATGCGTAATATAGATGTAGCATGACACTACCACGTATGAAAGTGCACAAAATGGTATCAAAAATCGGTTATTTAAAGGACTACTGGCGTCTATTGACTGTATTTGCCATTTACTACTGAGTGAAATGTGGTAATGAAGTGGAGGTGTAAGAATAACCACAACCCCATATCATCCCGTGGTATCATCTTAAGAGGTGACATAGGGAAACAAAACGGGAGATGGGCAGCAGCGTATACCGAATAACGACTAAAAAAACTGCGTTTGCAAGCCGCTTGCCAAGCTTGGCAACTATGGAAAATATCCCGCCCATGGAGGTAAGCCTGAATTCAGCCGTTGACTTTAATAGGCTGTAACGGTACGGAACTGCAAATCTGTCATTGTCATTTCAAAAATATAAAAAAAAAATATTTATAAATATACCAAAAATCTTGTGTACACAAGACCCTAAGATACACTAGCCACCAAAGTTTAAAAAACTTGGTTTACAACAGTCTATTTGTAATTATAAGTCCAATTACAAAACGTGGTAGTCGTATAAAAAGTGTCTCCTTGTATCACAAAATTTAAAAAGATATTTACTAATATTGCTAGTCGATTTTAAAATCAGATCAGCAATTAGGCTCTTTTGTGAGCGACTCGAATACTAGTAACGTAGCATTTGATTGAATTTTGTGATTTGAACGAATTTGTCTCGATGGCTTTCAGCCAAGAGTTAAAATCAAGCGTGTCTAGAAAATCCTTTTTGCAAATCACCAAAGAATAATGTACGATCCTCCAATGTTGTCACATAAGTATTAATTACAATAGCTATGGTATTCGAAAATAGTTTTGCAAGATTCGCCGTCATCTTTTCAATCGATATTGACAAGCAAGGTTACAATTTTAAATTTAGTGTAAACACTGTAGAAAAGTAGTTAAGACAATAAAAAAACTAAACAATAGTTGTGAAGATTTCTGATAGTATTGTAACAAACAAATTCTTAATAATATGGTCTAGGAGGATGATGCCAGCCACATGCGTCTTATGTGTGAACAGGTAATGCTTGGGAACAGAGGAACAGGGAATCCTGGTGTGGACAATAAACCAGGACTGTTTATTAGGGATTGGTTTATTCAAATCGCGAGTCTTACCAGTGTGGTATCAAAATATCAAAGAAATTTTTTTACACTTGAATTTCTGACTTTGTATATTTTTCAAAGGCTTATTTATTTTATCGTTGGCTATAAAAGTTGGGGAGTAAACACGTTTTTTCTTCGATCAGAAAAATCTCATTATAAAAAAGGCAGTATATTAAGCGATAACGTTGTAATGACGTCTTTAAAATGGGAAACCAGAACACCAGACCACCGCCCCGACATCCATTTTGACGCGCGCGACATCACCTGATTTGAGTCCAGGTGACAAGTGATTCTCGCGCTCAAAATGGATGTTAGTGTCTTGTATATGGTCGATAGACACGTGATGGGGCGGTATTTGCTCGGGTCTGTGGTACCCTGGTCTTTAGGAACCAAATGAGTGATCCCAGTAGTGAAGAGGCTTGGAAGCGACTTCTGGTTGAGAGCCTCTTGAAACTGTCGGGCGAGCACAGAGTGACACACCATGAACCCCTTCAGCCAGTAGTGATGCAGCCCGTCAAGCCCCGGACTTTTCCAGTTCGGGGCCCTACGGACCGCCTCAGCTACGTCATCCGGCGTTATGATGACGGGGGTCCATGGGCGTAATACCCGCACACTGACTCGCCACAACTTCCGTCCAAGGGCCCTCGCTCAGAAAAATCTCATTATAAAAAGGCAGTATATTAAGCGATAACGTTGTAATGACGTCTTTAAAATGGGACACCAGAACCCGACCCAATCCCTTTTACATTCTCTCCTATAGTGTTGCTGAATTTCGTTCAGTCTCCAAATATTTAAAGGTTCTAATACTTTGTTATGTTAAATTTCCAGGGAGCCATTCGATTTGGAGGAGTTGTACTTTTACAACTTCATTTTTTATTATTTATGTGATCTAGAACTTTTAAAAAGGATTACCATATTCGTATATATAATGCTAGTTAGTTGTATGTCGTGTATATTTTTGTGATATTTCACTAATTTCCGATCGTAGCGTGTGGTTTATTAGCGTGTAGTATATATCTACCTGTGACTGAAAAAGACATTTCTAGATAACTCTAAATTAGTTTTTCAATTTATAAAGCTTATAAAGTTTAGAACACAATTTAATTAATTATTCTCATTTATTTGTTCATCTCAAGACTACAGTTTTCAGAAATCAAATAAATGTGAACAGTTTTACAGCAAAATCTAATCTAATATCTAATAAATGAGGGTGTAGCGCGTGAATATGTCTGACTAATTAAACTAGTACAGAACAATCACCCATGCCACACACGCCACACATCTACCAACAGATAGTCCGATACTTTTACTCATCAATTTTAACTCGAATTTTATGTTGATGCTTCACGTCTGAATGATGTATGCAGTGATGAAGTCTGTAGTTTGCGATCATATCCTAGATGGCCTCAACCATTACATCAGATTTGATAGACCACAAATCCTTGCGAAAGAACATCGACTCCTACCAAGTGAGTGAGAGAGTGAGGCTATTGAAATTAATATATTAATACTAAATATATATAAAAGACAAGAGAGAAAATTTGAGTTCATATTCCTGGAACCAAACCCGGGCACTCCCGAATGCAAACTGCAAATCCTTCCCGCGCTACCAACTGTAATAAACTACGTTGCTAAAATTCGTAGGTTGTAAAAATAAATATTTATTATTTAGTAATAATTAAATGTTATAGTAATAAGTAAAATCGTTCAATATCGTTCATACATTGGGCGTTTGATTTATATGAACGTTTTTTACTCTTCATGACGGGTTTCACTTTAGGTCCCATAATTACAAATGATAATAATTATTAACAAGGTACAATACTTCGCTATTTTAACATTAAATATTTTAAATCGACATATCGACCTATCCGTAGAATAAAGTAACATTTGCAAAACCTTTACTTTACAGGAGAGCGATTTGAAGACAGTCTTGCACAATTTTCGCTCTAACTTTTTTGTTGTTTAAACTAGACAATTAGTTTTTTGGTATGTACTTTTGACTATGATAAGGCATGGATATTCATTATAATCGTTACATAAAGAACTGTATTTTAAAATCTAGTCTGTCATATATGCATATGTGGCGTTTTATTGTGGATGTCTGTAGGTTACAAATAGGTATATAACCTTATTCTTCGGAAAATTGTTAGTTAAATATGCACATATGTCTTTATTATAAGTAAATACACAACCATAATGTCTTAATGATAAAAAAGTATATGCGAATTAAGTAAATTACAAAGGTTTTTTTTGTTGTTATTAAGGTTTAATTGATCAATAGTTCACAGTGTGTAACTAAATTTAACTTATTTCTATAATGTTTACTGTGTATTAGACTTATAAACTTTAATATCATCAAATAAGAACAAAATAATCAAAAATTATAAAATCAACAAACTAAGTACTGGGCGTCTAACCTATTTTAAAGGAACTATAAGAAATAGTAACAAAAATAAAAAATCGGTAATAATAATATAAGTAACTAATACGAGAGTATGACGTATAACTTTGAACTAAAGTTTAAAGGTGTTTAACTATATTAAAACATAAAACTTAGACGTGACAGTTTCACAATGCACAAACATATAAAATTATATTGTATCCAAAGATGAAATAGTGTAAATACTAATTAATTAATGAAAATAAAAACATTCTCGCATTCTTCTTTTATAATTAAATTCTAACCGCAGCATTAGGGTTCATTGTTAAAAAACCATTAATTAAATAAAATAAAAATAAACATTGAGCATTAAAAATAATAAATCAGTCATTGACAAGCAGCTATTGACCATGCCAACATTATTTGTGCTCACTGGCAGATATGTAAAAAAATATGCGTCTTGGGAAGGTATTATTCCAGAACCGACTAAACTAATGAGTCTAGAGTAGGTAAAAAGGTAGAAGCATTGCGTGTATTTGAGCGTATTAAAACGGTAAAATAATGATTTTCGCTGAGATAATTTTTATATAGTAGCTTATTAGGCTCTGATTTATATATTATATACGAAAGAAGAATATTTATGAAACAATGAATTTAAATTTGGATATTTTCGTAATTTGGCACTTAATACGACTATATAAATCTTCAAATTAGTTCCAAGCCTCGTAATCAACGTCTGCATTAGGGTTTAATTTTAAATGTTTAGTATTATAGTTATCTAGAACTTCTTGAAACTCACTACGTAATTGTTCTATATTCGAAGCGATGCTAAGAAATAAATTCTGCTCGTCCAAGGAATTAAATGCGCCCTTTGAGGTCTCGTAAATTTTTTGTAATCGTTCGTAAATATAATTACGTTTAGAGATAATAATTTTTATACTAACTTCTTCATCCGAAACCAGTTTAGATTCTTTGCTTCTCGTCGTCATTTTCAACAAACAAATGCGGACTAAAATTATTGCGATAAGTGACGGTAGAATTAGTTAACTGGGGAATGAAACAATCTCGCGTTACTAGAAAGATGGCGGTTAATCAACAAGAAAAATATCATTAATGGAATAATGAAGCGGCGTGGTATGCGTTACAAAGGTATTATAATACGTGTAATAAGCGATGCGGGACAAATATAAATTGTAGTTAGTATAATTAGAAATACAATTTATTATGATATAATAATACATACGTATATAATTTTTTGTAATATATAAAAAAATGAATTTACTTCTCCGGGCCGAAAGGTTAATTTAATCCCGGCCGAAGTGACCAAAATATTTGGTGGGTTTGGCGTTTTGGTTTTAACGATCAAACTGCTGGTTCAAATGTATTAAATAATTTTATGCGGTGCGGCTATTAATTTAAATAGAGTAGTGGACTGTATAAGCGCGGTGCGAGCGGTGAATGGAAATTAATTTATTCGTGATACTGGGCCCTCTCCTTTTTATTATCTATATAAATGATTTTCCTAATGTAATCAACCATCATATGACTATTTTTGCTGACGATAGTACTGTTTTATTTACTTATGATAATGAGAATAATATAAATATTGACATTAATAATACATTGACATCTTTATTCAAATGGCTGACATTAAATAACCTAACAATTAATTTGACAAAAACACATGTAATAAACTTTAAACAAAGAAATCACTGACCTCTATATATACAAGTACGCTGGACTGGCTATACCATACAAAATGACTGTGCCAATTTGAAGCGCCGCTAAAGGATGTCTTGAAAAATAAAATTGACGTAATATGCCAAAGTATGTTGTCTTATTCATATTGTCATATTTAATAAGTCTGTATTTTGAACTTTTAAACTAAAAAAAACGAAAGTATTTTATATTGTTTCGTTGTGTATATTAGTTACATAATAAGAATTATTTTTATTAATAATGAGAGGGTGCGTAATCTGTAAAACTCGTTACCAAAAGGGAAGTGGTATAACATTTCACAAGTAAGTGAATTTGCAATAAATATTAAACAAATTAAAACTATTTGATAATATAAGTGCTTAGAAATTTGTTACTAATCTTAATATCTTATATACCAACATGTTTGGCTGTATATTACTGAGTTTTGATAAACAGTAAAATTCAATAGGGTTATTGAGTTCCTTGTCTATAATACTTATCGATGTTCTTTCCTACCCATATCTGTTAACAAACAAAGTCACCAACAACAGATGATTATCAAATGTTTATTAACAGGTTTCTAACTGAACCTAGACTAAAATTATGGCTTAAAATCATAAATATTTTGAATTGGCGTCCGAAACAAAATGATCATATTTGTTCCAAACATTTCACAGACGACTGTTTTATTAGACATGAGAACTGCACCACTTTGAAAAAGTGCGGTATACTGACAATATTTTCTGGTAGTACCAGTATTAAGCACTACCAACTACCAAGTACTACGTATTAGATTATTGTTTCGAATGTTTTTTTATTTCTTCTTTCCTCATTTTCCACCAAACTCAAGGGCCATAACCAAGTGTCGAAAGGTCGCCTGATGATGTTGAGCCACGTTGGATGTGTGTTAGTGGGCTGCGGCTAGAGGAGATTCCTCTCCCTGTACCGCTGACGAGTATGACGATTGGCGATGCGCCACTCGACTGTCTTTCGATTGATAATTTCAGTTATTTTTTTTAATATTGTAATTTTAATTTCGAAAATGACGTTGTAAATAACTGATAACTATGTAATTCAAAGTTTATATTTTTTATATTATCTTGCTGGCTTGCGCATTGCTGCCGCAGAAGAAGTACTTGTGGAAATATCGTTAAAAATGTGGAACAGTTATATTGTATAATTAGGAATGATAATACAATCATTGAAATAGAATGATATATAACTTTCTATAACTTTCAAATAAATAGTCAGTATAATACGCACGCCACCTAGTGTCAGTTAATTGTACCATGCGTATAACCTTCGCACAAGTACAACCACCAACCAATAAGTTGAATAAGTTTTAACGCAATCTGATGAACGGTATGGCATCGTAGAAAGTACGAACAAACATAAATTTTTATATAGTAGAAAATATTTTACTGTCTATAAACACACCTGTAGTTGATTAAACTAGGCGTTATTATAGCAGTTGATTTGTTTTTTATAATACTAAAACTACACTAAATAAACGGTTGACAAT